TAATAGTGTTACTAGTAGTAGTAGTAGTACTAGTAGTAGTAGTAGTACTAGTGGTATTAGTAGTACTATTAGTAATAGTAGTAGTATTAGTACTGGTAGTACTAGTACTAGTAGTAGTAGTACTAGTTTTAGTTGTAGTAGTAGTAGTAGTACTAGTATTAATTGTAGTACTAGAAGTTGTAGTAGTATTACTAGTAGTAGTAGTAGTACTAGTGGTAGTAGTAGTACTAGTAGAAAAGTAGTAGTAGTAATACTAGTAGTACTAGTACTAGTAGTAGTAGTAGTACTAGTAGTAGTGGTAGTAGTAATAGTACTAGTATTAGTAGTAGTAGCACTAGTAGTAGTAGTAGTACTAGTAGTAGCAATAGTAGTAGTAGTATCAGTGATAGTAGTAGTAGTAGTACTGGTAGTAGTACTGGTAGTAGTAGTAGTAGTATTAGTACTAGTATTAGTAGTAGTACTAGTGGAAGTAGTACTAGTAGTAGTAGTACTAATAGTCGTAGTAGTATTAGTAGTAGTACTAGTAGTAGTAGTAGGAGGAGTACTAGTAGTAGTAGTAGTATTATTAGTAGTACTATTAGTACTATTATTAGGAGTACTAGTAGTAGTAGTAGTGTTAGTAATACTAGTAATAATATTAGTACTATTAGTAGTAGTATAAGTATTGGTAGGAATAGTAGTAGTAGTAATATGAGTAGTAGTAGTACTAATAGTAGTATTAGTAGTAGTACTAGTAGTAATAGTAGTACTAGTAGTAGTAGAATTAGCAGTAGTAGTAGTAGTACTTTTATTAGTAGTAGTATACTAGTAGTAGTACTAGTAGTAGTATTAGTAGTAGTACTAGTAGTAGTAGTACTAGTAGTAGTAGTACTTGTAGTAGTAGTATTACTAGTAGTAGTTGTAGTATTACTAGTAGTACTAGTAGTTTTACTAGTAGTAGTAGTCGTGTTATTAGTACTGGTAGTAGTAGTAATAGTACTCATAGTACTAGTAGTAGTACTAGTAGTAGTAGTAGTAGTACTGGTAGTAGTAGTAGTACTAGTAGTAGTAGTAGTACTAGTGGTATTAGTAGTACTATTAGTAATAGTAGTAGTATTAGTACTAGTAGTACTAGTACTAGTAGTAGTAGTAGTACTAGTAGTAGTTGTAGTAGTAGTAGTAGTACTAGTATTAATTGTAGTACTAGAAGTTGTAGTAGTATTACTAGTAGTAGTAGTAGTAGTACTAGTCGTAACAGTAGTACTAGTAGAAAAGTAGTAGTAGTAATACTAGTAGTACTAGTACTAGTAGTAGTAGTAGTACTAGTAGTAGTGGTAGTAGTAATAGTACTAGTATTAGTAGTAGTAGCACTAGTAGTAGTAGTACTAGTAGTAGCAATAGTAGTAGTAGTATCAGTGATAGTAGTAGTAGTAGTACTGGTAGTAGTACTGGTAGTAGTAGTAGTAGTATTAGTACTAGTATTAGTAGTAGTACTAGTGGAAGTAGTACTAGTAGTAGTAGTACTAATAGTCGTAGTAGTATTAGTAGTAGTACTAGTAGTAGTAGTAGGAGGAGTACTAGTAGTAGTAGTAGTATTATTAGTAGTACTATTAGTACTATTATTAGGAGTACTAGTAGTAGTAGTAGTGTTAGTAATACTAGTAATAATATTAGTACTATTAGTAGTAGTATTAGTATTGGTAGGAATAGTAGTAGTAGTAATAGGAGTAGTAGTAGTACTAGTAGTAGTATTAGTAGTAGTACTAGTAGTAATAGTAGTACTAGTAGTAGTAGAAGTAGCAGTAGTATTAGTAGTACTTTTATTAGTAGTAGTATACTAGTAGTAGTACTAGTAGTAGTATTAGTAGTAGTACTAGTAGTAGTAGTACTAGTAGTAGTAGTACTGTAGTAGTAGTATTACTAGTAGTAGTAGTAGTATTACTAGTAGTACTAGTAGTTGTACTAGTAGTAGTAGTCGTGTTATTAGTACTGGTAGTAGTAGTAATAGTACTCATAGTACTAGTAGTAGTACTAGTAGTAGTAGTAGTACTGGTAGTAGTAGTAGTACTAGTAGTAGTAGTAGTACTAGTGGTATTAGTAGTACTATTAGTAATAGTAGTAGTATTAGTACTAGTAGTACTAGTACTAGTAGTAGTAGTAGTACTAGTAGTAGTTGTAGTAGTAGTAGTAGTACTAGTATTAATTGTAGTACTAGAAGTTGTAGTAGTATTACTAGTAGTAGTAGTAGTAGTACTAGTCGTAACAGTAGTACTAGTAGAAAAGTAGTAGTAGTAATACTAGTAGTACTAGTACTAGTAGTAGTAGTAGTACTAGTAGTAGTGGTAGTAGTAATAGTACTAGTATTAGTAGTAGTAGCACTAGTAGTAGTAGTAGTACTAGTAGTAGCAATAGTAGTAGTAGTATCAGTGATAGTAGTAGTAGTAGTACTGGTAGTAGTACTGGTAGTAGTAGTAGTAGTATTAGTACTAGTATTAGTAGTAGTACTAGTGGAAGTAGTACTAGTAGTAGTAGTACTAATAGTCGTAGTAGTATTACTAGTAGTACTAGTAGTAGTAGTAGGAGGAGTACTAGTAGTAGTAGTAGTATTATTAGTAGTACTATTAGTACTATTATTAGGAGTACTAGTAGTAGTAGTATTGTTAGTAATACTAGTAATTATATTAGTACTATTAGTAGTAGTATTAATATTGGTAGGAATATTAGTAGTAGTACTACTAGTAGTAGTACTAGTAGTAGTATTAGTAGTAGTACTAGTAGTAGTAGTACTAGTAGTAGTAGTACTAGTAGTAGTAGTATTACAAGTAGTATTAATACTAGTAGTAGTAGTAGTATTACTAGTAGTACTAGTAGTTGTACTAGTAGTAGTAGTCGTGTTATTAGTACTGGAAGTAGTAGTAATAGTACTCATAGTACTAGTAGTAGTACTAGTAGTAGTAGTAGTAGCACTGGAAGTAGTAGTAGTAGTAATAGTAGTAGTAGTACTAGAATTAGTAGTACTAATATTAGTAGTAATATTAGTAGTAGTATTAGTAGTACTGGCACTAGTAGTAATAGTATTAGTCGTACTAGTATTAGTACTAGTAGTATTAGTATTACTAGTAGTAGTAAAGTAGTTGTAATACTAGTAGTAGTAGTAGTAGTACTAGTAGTAGTAGTAGTACTAGTAGTACTAGTAGTAGTACTAGTAGTACTAGTAGTAGTATTACTAGTAGTAGTAGTACTAGTAGTAGTAGTGGTAGTAGTAGTAGTACTATTAGTAGTAGTAGTAGTAGTAGTAGTACTGGTAGTATTAGTAGTAGTATTAGTACTCGTAGTAGTAGTAGTACTAGTGGAAGTAGTACTAGTAGTAGTAGTACTAATAGTCGTAGTAGTATTAGTAGTAGTACTAGTAGTAGTAGTAGGAGGAGTACTAGTAGTAGTAGTAGTATTATTAGTAGTACTATTAGTACTATTATTACGTGTACTAGTAGTAGTAATAGTGTTAGTAATACTAGTAATAATATTAGTACTATTTATAGTAGTATTAGTATTGGTAGGAATAGTATTAGTAGTGATAGGAGTAGTAATAGTACTAGTAGTAGTACTAGTATTAGTATTAGTAGTAGTACTAGTATTCATAGTAGTAATAGTAGTAGTACTAGAAGTAGAAGTAGTAGTAGTAGTACTTTTATTAGTAGTAGTATACTAGTAGTAGTACTAGTAGTAGTATTAGTAGTAGTACTAGTAGTAGTAGTACTAGTAGTAGTAGTACTAGTAGTAGTAGTATTACTAGTAGTTTTACTAGTAGTAGTAGTATTACTAGTAGTACTAGTAGTTGTACTAGTAGTAGTCGTGTTATTAGTACTGGTAGTAGTGGTAGTAGTACTCATACTACTAGTGGTAGTACTAGTAGTAGTAGTACTAGTAGTAGTAGTTGTAGTACTACTAGTAGTAATAGTAGTATTATTAGTACTAGTATTAGTAGTACTAGTAGTAGTAGTAGTACTAGTAGTAGTAGTAGTACTAATAGTAGTAGTAATACTAGTACTAGTAGTAGTAGTAGTACTTGTAGTAGTAGTAGTACTACTAGTAGTACTAGTAGTAGTAGTATTGGTGGTAGTAGTATCAGTACTAGTAGTATTAGTAGTAGTACTAGTAGTAGTACTGGTAGTAGTAGTAGTAATATAAGTAGTAGTATTATTAGTAGTAGTTGTAGTATTAGTAATTGTACTAGTATTAGTAGTAGTACTAGAAGTAGTAGTAGTATTACTAGTAGTAGTAGTAATAGTGGTATTAGTAGCACTATTAGTAATAGTAGTAGTAATAGTACTATTAGTACTAGTACTAGTAGTAGTAGTACTAGTAGTAGTTGTAGTAGTAGTAGTAGTACTAGTATTAATTGTAGTACTAGAAGTAGTAGTAGTACTAGTGGTATTAGTAGTACTAGTAGAAAAGTAGTAGTAGTAATACTAGTAGTACTAGTACTAGTAGTAGTAGTAGTACTAATAGTAGTAGTAGTGGTAGTAGTAATATTACTAGTATTATTAGTAGTAGCACTAGTAGTAATAGTACTAGTAGTAGCAATAGTAGTAATAGTATCAGTGCTAGTAGTAGTAGTACTAGTAGTAGTACTGGTAGTAGTAGTAATAGTATTAGTACTAGTATTAGTAGTAGTACTAGTGGAAGAATTTCTAGTAGTAGTAGTACTAATAGTCGTAGTAGTATTAGTAGTAGTACTAGTAGTAGTAGTAGGAGGAGTACTAGTAGTAGTAGTAGTATTATTAGTAGTACTATTAATACTATTATTAGGAGTACTAGTAGTAGTAGTAGTGTTAGTAATACTAGTAATAATATTAGTACTATTAGTAGTAGTATTAGTATTGGTAGGAATAGTAGTATTAGTAATAGGAGTAGTAGTATTACTAGTAGTAGTACTAGTAGTAGTATTAGTAGTAGTACTAGTAGTAATAGTAGTACTAGTAGTAGTAGTAGAAATAGCAGTAGAAGTAGTAGTACTTTTATTAGTAGTAGTATACTAGTAGTAGTACTAGTAGTAGTATTAGTAGTAGTACTAGTAGTAGTACTCGAAGTAGTAGTATTACTAGTATTATTACTACTAGTAGTAGTATTACTAGTAGTACTAGTAGTTGTACTAGTAGTCGTAGTCGTGTTATTAGTACTGGTAGTAGTAGTAGTACTCCTAGTACTAGTAGTACTAGTAGTAGTAGTAGTAGTACTACTAGTAGTAGTAGTAGTACTAGTAGTAGTAGTTGTAGTAGTACTAGTAGTAGTAGTAGTATTATTAGTAATAGTAGTAGTAGTACTAGTAGTAGTAGTAGTACTAGTAGTATTAGTAGTACTAGTAATAGTAGTAATACTAGTACTAGTAGTAGTAGTAGTACTTGTAGTAGTAGTAGTACTACTAGTAGTACTAGTAGTAGTAGTATTGGTGGTAGTAGTAGTAGTACTAGTGGTAGTAGTACTAGTAGTAGTATTAGTACTAGTAGTATCAGTAGTAGTATCAGTACAAGTACTATTAGTAGTAGTACTAGTAGAAGTACTGGTAGTAGTAGTAGTAGTAATATTAGTAGTAGTATTATTAGTAGTAGTTGTAGTAGTAGTAGTTGTACTAGTATTAGTAGTAGTACTAGAAGTAGTAGTAGTATTACTAGTAGTAGTAGTAGTAGTACTAGTAGTAGTAGTACTAGTGGTATTAGTAGTACTATTAGTAATAGTAGTAGTATTAGTACTAGTAGTACTAGTACTAGTAGTAGTAGTAGTACTAGTATTAGTTGTAGTAGTAGTAATAGTACTAGTATTAATTGTAGTACTAGAAGTTGTATTAGTATTACTAGTAGTAGTAGTAGTAGTAGTACTAGTCGTAACAGTAGTACTAGTAGAAAAGTAGTAGTAGTAATACTAGTAGTACTAGTACTAGTAGTAGTAGTAGTACTAGTAGTAGTGTTAGTAGTAATAGTACTAGTATTAGTAGTAGTAGCACTAGTAGTAGTAGTAGTACTAGTAGTAGCAATAGTAGTAGTAGTATCAGTGATAGTAGTAGTAGTAGTACTGGTAGTAGTACTGGTAGTAGTAGTAGTAGTATTAGTACTAGTATTAGTAGTAGTACTAGTGGAAGTAGTACTAGTAGTAGTAGTACTAATAGTCGTAGTAGTATTAGTAGTAGTACTAGTAGTAGTAGTAGGAGGAGTACTAGTAGTAGTAGTAGTATTATTAGTAGTACTATTAGTACTATTATTAGGAGTACTAGTAGTAGTAGTAGTGTTAGTAATACTAGTAATAATATTAGTACTATTAGTAGTAGTATTAGTATTGGTAGGAATAGTAGTAGTAGTAATAGGAGTAGTAGTAGTACTAATAGTAGTATTAGTAGTAGTACTAGTAGTAATAGTAGTACTAGTAGTAGTAGAATTAGCAGTAGTAGTAGTACTTTTATTAGTAGTAGTATACTAGTAGTAGTACTAGTAGTAGTACTAGTAGTAGTACTAGTATTAGTAGTACTAGTAGTAGTAGTATTAGTAGTAGTAGTATTACTAGTAGTATTACTACTAGTAGGTTGTAGTATTACTAGTAGTACTAGTAGTTGTACTAGTAGTAGTAGTCGTGTTATTAGTACTGGTAGTAGTAGTAATAGTACTCATAGTACTAGTAGTAGTAGTAGTAGTACTGTAGTAGTAGTAGTACTAGTAGTAGTAGTAGTAGTACTAGTAGTAGTAGTACTAGTATTAGTAGTAGTACTAGTGGTATTAGTATTACTATTAGTAATAGTAGTAGTATTAGTACTAGTAGTACTAGTACTAGTAGTAGTAGTAGTACTAGTATTAGTTGTAGTAGTAGTAGTAGTACTAGTATTAATTGTAGTACTAGAAGTTGTAGTAGTATTACTAGTAGTAGTAGTAGTACTAGTCGTAACAGTAGTACTAGTAGAAAAGTAGTAGTAGTAATACTAGTAGTACTAGTACTAGTAGTAGTAGTACTAGTAGTAGTGGTAGTAGTAATAGTACTAGTATTAGTAGTATTAGCACTAGTAGTAGTAGTAGTACTAGTAGTAGCAATAGTAGTAGTAGTATCAGTGATAGTAGTAGTAGTAGTAGTTATTAGTACTGTTAGTAGTAGTAGTATTAGTACTAGTAGTAGTACTAGTAGTAGTAGTAGTAGTAGCACTGGAAGTAGTAGTAGTAGTACTAGTAGTAGTAGTAGTAGTACTAGTAGTAGTAGTACTAGTATTAGTAGTACTAGTAGTAGTAGTATTAGTAGTACTAGTACTAGTAGTAATAGTATTAGTCGTACTAGTATTAGTACTAGTAGTAGTAGTATTACTAGTAGTAGTATAGTAGTTGTAATACTAGTAGTAGTAGTAGTAGTACTAATAGTAGTAGTAGTACTAGTGGTAATAGTAGTACTATTAGTAATAGTAGTAGTATTAGTACTAGTAGTACTAATACTAGTAGTAGTAGTACTAGTAGTAGTTGTAGTAGTAGTAGTAGTACTAGTATTAATTGTAGTACTAGAAGTTGTAGTAGTATTACTAATAGTAATAGTAGTAGTAGTACTAGTGGTAGTAGTAGTACTAGTAGAAAAGTAGTAGTAGTAATACTAGTAGTACTAGTACTAGTAGTAGTAGTAGTACTAGTAGTAGTGGTAGTAGTAATAGTACTAGTATTAGTAGTAGTAGCACTAGTAGTAGTAGTAGTACTAGTAGTAGCAGTAGTAGTAGTAGTATCAGTGATAGTAGTAGTAGTAGTACTGGTAGTAGTACTGGTAGTAGTAGTAGTAGTATTAGTACTAGTATTAGTAGTAGTACTAGTGGAAGTAGTACTAGTAGTAGTAGTACTAATAGTCGTAGTAGTATTAGTAGTAGTACTAGTAGTAGTAGTAGGAGGAGTACTAGTAGTATTAGTAGTATTATTAGTAGTACTATTAGTACTATTATTAGGAGTACTAGTAGTACTAGTGTTAGTAATACTAGTAATAATATTAGTACTAATAGTAGTAGTATTATTATTGGTAGGAATATTAGTAGTAGTAATAGGAGTAGTAGTAGTACTAGTAGTAGTACTAGTAGTAGTATTAGTAGTAGTATTAGTAGTAATAGTAGTACTAGTAGTAGTAGTAGAAGTAGCAGTAGTAGTAGTACTTTTATTAGTAGTAGTATACTAGTAGTAGTACTAGTAGTAGTATTAGTAGTAGTACTAGTAGTAGTAGTACTAGTAGTAGTAGTATTACTAGTAGTATTAATACTAGTAGTAGTAGTATTATTACTAGTAGTACTAGTAGTTGTACTAGTAGTAGTAGTCGTGTTATTAGTACTGGTAGTAGTAGTAATAGTACTCATAGTACTAGTAGTAGTACTAGTAGTAGTAGTAGTAGCACTGGAAGTAGTAGTAGTAGTACTAGTAGTAGTAGTAGTAGTAGTAGTACTAGTAGTAGTAGTACTAGTATTAGTAGTACTAGTAGTAGTAGTATTAGTAGTACTAGTACTAGTAGTAATAGTATTAGTCGTACTAGTATTAGTACTAGTAGTAGTAGTATTACTAGTAGTAGTATAGTAGTTGTAATACTAGTAGTAGTAGTAGTACTAGTAGTAGTAGTAGTACTAGTAGTACTAGTAGTAGTACTAGTAGTAGTACTAGTAGTAGTATTACTAGTAGTAGTAGTACTAGTAGTAGTAGTGGTAGTAGTAGTAGTACTAGTAGTAGTAGTAGTGGTAGTAGTAGTGGTACTAGTAGTATTAGTAGTAGTACTACTAGTAGTATTAGTACGGGTAGTAGTAGTAGTACAAAGAGTATTAGTAGTAGTACAAGTAGTAGTAATAGTATTATTAATGTTAATAGTAGCGCTGGTAGTACTGGTAATAGTACTAGTAGTAGTCGTAGTAACAGTAGTGTACTAGTAGTAGTAGTAGTACTAGTAGTATTAGTAATACTAGTAGTAGAGTAGTAGTATTAGTAGTAGTAGTACTAGTATTAGTAATAGTACTATTAGTAGTAGTATTAGTAGTAGCAGTATTATTAATACTAGTAGTAGTAGTAGTATTAGTAGTAGTAATATTAATTATAATAATATTAGTACTAGTAATAGTAGTAGTAGTAATAGTATTAGTTGTAGTACTAGTAGTAGTAGTAGTACTAGTAGTAGTAGTACTAGTAGTAGTAGTGGCACTAAAGTATTAGTATTAGTACTACTAGTAGTAATAGTGGTAATATTAATAGTACTAGTAGTAGTACTAGTAGTAGTACTGGTAGTATTAGTAGTAGTATTAGTACTAGTAGTAGTAGTAGTACTAGTGGAAGTAGTACTAGTAGTAGTAGTACTAATAGTCGTAGTAGTATTAGTAGTAGTAGTAGTAGTAGTAGTAGGAGGAGTACTAGTAGTAGTAGTAGTATTATTAGTAGTACTATTAGTACTATTATTAGGAGTACTAGTAGTAGTAGTAGTGTTAGTAATACTAGTAATAATATTAGTACTATTAATAGTAGTATTAGTATTGGTAGGAATAGTAGTAGTAGTGATAGGAGTAGTAATAGTACTAGTAGTAGTACTAGTAGTAGTATTAGTAGTAGTACTAGTAGTAATAGTAGTACTAGTAGTAGTAGTAGAAGTAGAAGTAGTAGTAGTAGTACTTTTATTAGTAGTAGTATACTAGTAGTAGTACTAGTAGTAGTATTAGTAGTAGTACTAGTAGTAGTAGTAGTAGTAGTAGTAGTACTAGTAGTAGTAGTATTACTAGTAGTAGTAGTATTACTAGTAGTACTAGTAGTTGTACTAGTAGTAGTAGTCGTGTTATTAGTACTGGTAGTAGTGGTAGTAGTACTCATAGTACTAGTAGTAGTACTAGTAGTAGTAGTAGTAGTACTAGTAGTAGTAGTTGTAGTAGTACTAGTAGTAATAGTAGTATTATTAGTACTAGTATTAGTAGTACTAGTAGTAGTAGTAGTACTAGTAGTAGTAGTAATACTAGTACTAGTAGTAGTAGTAGTACTTGTAGTAGTAGTAGTACTACTAGTAGTACTAGTAGTAGTAGTATTGGTGGTAGTAGTAGTACTAGTAGTAGTATTAGTAGTACTAATAGTAGCAGTAGTAGTAGTAGTATCAGTACTAGTAGTATTAGTAGTAGTACTAGTAGTAGTACTGGTAGTAGTAGTAGTAATATTAGTAGTAGTATTATTAGTAGTAGTTGTAGTATTAGTAGTTGTACTAGTATTAGTAGTATTACTAGAAGTAGTAGTAGTATTACTAGTAGTATAGTAGTAGTACTAGTGGTATTAGTAGTACTATTAGTAATAGTAGTAGTATTAGTACTAGTAGTACTAGTACTAGTAGTAGTAGTAGTACTAGTAGTAGTTGTAGTAGTAGTAGTAGTACTAGTATTAATTGTAGTACTAGAAGTAGTAGTAGTACTAGTGGTATTAGTAGTACTAGTAGAAAAGTAGTAGTAGTAATACTAGTAGTACTAGTACTAGTAGTAGTAGTAGTACTAATAGTAGTAGTAGTGGTAGTAGTAATATTACTAGTATTATTAGTAGTAGCACTAGTAGTAGTAGTACTAGTAGTAGCAATAGTAGTAATAGTATCAGTGCTAGTAGTAGTAGTACTAGTAGTAGTACTGGTAGTAGTAGTAATAGTATTAGTACTAGTATTAGTAGTAGTACTAGTGGAAGAAGTTCTAGTAGTAGTAGTACTAATAGTCGTAGTAGTATTAGTAGTAGTACTAGTAGTAGTAGTAGGAGGAGTACTAGTAGTAGTAGTAGTATTATTAGTAGTACTATTAATACTATTATTAGGAGTACTAGTAGTAGTAGTAGTGTTAGTAATACTAGTAATAATATTAGTACTATTAGTAGTAGTATTAGTATTGGTAGGAATAGTAGTAGTAGTAGTAGTACTAGTAGTAGTACTAGTAGTAGTATTAGTAGTAGTACTAGTAGTAATAGTAGTACTAGTAGTAGTAGTAGAAGTAGCAGTAGTAGTAGTAGTACTTTTATTAGTAGTAGTATACTAGTAGTAGTACTAGTAGTAGTATTAGTAGTAGTACTAGTAGTAGTAGTACTGGTAGTAGTAGTATTACTAGTATTATTACTACTAGTAGTAGTAGTAGTATTACTAGTAGTACTAGTAGTTGTACTAGTAGTCGTAGTCGTGTTATTAGTACTGGTAGTAGTAGTAGTAGTACTCATAGTACTAGTAGTAGTACTAGTAGTAGTAGTACTAGTAGTAGTAGTAGTAGTACTAGTAGTAGTAGTTGTATTAGTACTAGTAGTAGTAGTATTATTAGTAATAGTAGTAGTAGTACTAGTAGTAGTAGTAGTACTAGTAGTAGTAGTAGTACTAGTAATTGTAATAATACTAGTACTAGTAGTAGTACTTGTAGTATTAGTAGTACTACTAATAGTACTAGTAGTAGTAGTATTGGTGGTAGTAGTAGTAGTAGTAGTGGTAGTAGTACTAGTAGTAGTATTAGTACTAGTAGTATCAGTAGTAGTATCAGTACATGTACTATTATTAGTAGTACTAGTAGAAGTACTGGTAGTAGTAGTAGTAGTAATATTAGTAGTAGTATTATTAGTAGTATTTGTAGTAGTAGTAGTTGTACTAGTATTAGTAGTAGTACTAGAAGTAGTAGTAGTGTTACTAGTAGTAGTAGTAGTAGTACTAGTAGTAGTACTAGTGGTATTAGTAGTAATATTAGTAATAGTAGTAGTATTAGTACTAGTAGTACTAGTACTAGTAGTAGTAGTAGTACTAGTATTAGTTGTAGTAGTAGTAGTAGTACTAGTATTAATTGTAGTACTAGAAGTTGTAGTAGTATTACTAGTAGTAGTAGTAGTAGTACTAGTCGTAACAGTAGTACTAGTAGAAAAGTAGTAGTAGTAATACTAGTAGTACTAGTACTAGTAGTAGTAGTAGTACTAGTAGTAGTGGTAGTAGTAATAGTACTAGTATTAGTAGTAGTAGCACTAGTAGTAGTAGTACTAGTAGTAGCAATAGTAGTAGTAGTATCAGTGATAGTAGTAGTAGTAGTACTGGTAGTAGTACTGGTAGTAGTAGTAGTAGTATTAGTACTAGTATTAGTAGTAGTACTAGTGGAAGTAGTACTAGTAGTAGTAGTACTAATAGTCGTAGTAGTATTAGTAGTAGTACTAGTAGTAGTAGTAGGAGGAGTACTAGTAGTAGTAGTAGTATTATTAGTAGTACTATTAGTACTATTATTAGGAGTACTAGTAGTAGTAGTAGTGTTAGTAATACTAGTAATAATATTAGTACTATTAGTAGTAGTATTAGTATTGGTAGGAATAGTAGTAGTAGTAATAGGAGTAGTAGTAGTACTAGTAGTAGTATTAGTAGTAGTACTAGTAGTAATAGTAGTACTAGTAGTAGTAGAATTAGCAGTAGTAGTAGTAGTACTTTTATTAGTAGTAGTATACTAGTAGTAGTACTAGTAGTAGTATTAGTAGTAGTACTAGTATTAGTAGTACTAGTAGTAGTAGTACTAGTAGTAGTAGTATTACTAGTAGTATTTCTACTAGTAGTAGTTGTAGTATTACTAGTAGTACTAGTAGTTTTACTAGTAGTAGTAGTCGTGTTATTAGTACTGGTAGTAGTAGTAATAGTACTCATAGTACTAGTTGTAGTAATAGTAGTAGTAGTAGTACTAGTAGTAGTAGTAGTACTAGTAGTAGTAGTAGTAGTACTAGTAGTAGTAGTACTAGTATTAGTAGTAGTACTAGTGGTATTAGTAGTACTATTAGTAATAGTAGTAGTATTAGTACTAGTAGTACTAGTACTAGTAGTAGTAGTAGTACTAGTAGTAGTTGTAGTAGTAGTAGTAGTACTAGTATTAATTGTAGTACTAGAAGTTGTAGTAGTATTACTAGTAGTAGTAGTACTAGTCGTAACAGTAGTACTAGTAGAAAAGTAGTAGTAGTAATACTAGTAGTAGTAGTACTAGTAGTAGTAGTAGTACTAGTAGTAGTGGTAGTAGTAATAGTACTAGTATTAGTAGTAGTAGCACTAGTAGTAGTAGTATCAGTGATAGTAGTAGTAGTAGTACTGGTAGTAGTACTGGTAGTAGTAGTAGTAGTATTAGTACTAGTATTAGTAGTAGTACTAGTGGAAGTAGTACTAGTAGTAGTAGTACTAATAGTCGTAGTAGTATTACTAGTAGTACTAGTAGTAGTAGTAGGAGGAGTACTAGTAGTAGTAGTAGTATTATTAGTAGTACTATTAGTACTATTATTAGGAGTACTAGTAGTAGTAGTAGTGTTAGTAATACTAGTAATTATATTAGTACTATTAGTAGTAGTATTAATATTGGTAGGAATATTAGTAGTAGTAATAAGAGTAGTAGTAGTACTAGTAGTAGTACTAGTAGTAGTATTAGTAGTAGTATTAGTAGTAATAGTAGTACTAGTAGTAGTAGTAGATGTAGCAGCAGTAGTAGTACTTTTATTAGTAGTAGTATACTAGTAGTAGTACTAGTAGTAGTATTAGTAGTAGTACTAGTAGTAGTAGTACTAGTAGTAGTAGTACTAGTAGTAGTAGTATTACTAGTAGTATTAATACTAGTAGTAGTAGTATTACTAGTAGTACTAGTAGTTGTACT